ATAACACTCAGTTATGAATACATAAAATACAATCAGGGGACAGTTACTGTGGAATGACTACTGTTTTACAGAGTCCTCTTAGAATAGAAAGAACATGTTCCTTGGGACATGGCTGGATTTGGAGAATGTGTGGGCACTCACGATACCTGTTGAATATGCAGATATTATTGTATGGAGTCACATATCTTATGTCCAAAAGCATCCTAGCACCGTGAATTAGGGGCTTCACACATTGGCCAAGAGAAGATACTGAATGTGCTCACTTCGTTTATGTGCTTCCCTCAAGAAGTTGAACCCCCTGGAGGAAGTTGACTGTGGATAACCTTGTATCTCTTCTAGCTGTATGAAATGAAAGCATGGAAAAATGGATCGGATTTGTCTGAAAGCTTCTGGAGCCAGAAGGCACATGGTGTCAGTGCTCAGCTGTCTATTTCCAGGCATCTTCTTGAAATAGCCTCTTTCTAGAGATATAATTCCTTTATATTTTAAAATATAATTTATATTTAAAAAATAACTTAATTTTACAAATTAAAATTTTTATAATAATTCTAGGTAAATAATATTTTTCTCTGTATACCAGATTCTGCTTTCTACTCAGGGATGTCATAAAGAAAGACTTTATGAATACTAACAGTCTTCTCTAAACCCAAAGAAGAGGAAGAGGAAATAAATGAAATAATTTACTTTTGGAAATACCTTTTGCCGCAGACATAGGTCTTTTTCTTCAGAGTGTGTAAAAATGTATCATTAGTCTATACAGCAGTTTTTACTGTAGTCCATTAGTTACTTTGACAAAAGATCAGGAAGAAAAGTTGAATAGAATTCTTCACAGGTATAGTACATTGGTGGCTTTTCTGTTTACGGTGGTTTGGGTCTTAAAAAAAAATGTCTACACTTTATTTACCTCCGTCAGATGTTGACTTTGCAGAGCATGGAGAATACAGCACCAGTCATGCAGAAAGTACCTGTTTGTCATCGTGAGAGTTCAAACACGAACTGGAACCAATGGCCCATTAAATACCTTCTCTTGTTGTTTAAAGCATATCCCAGCTTTGTGAAATAATTGTTAATGCAGAATCCTGTAACTGAGCCAAGGAATGACATACCTTTAGCTCTATTCAGGTTAGTGGCTGAGTCAGATATGCTCAGTTGTGTCCTATTGTTTCGAGATTTGGCGCTATCGAAAGCCTCGCCTGGAGCGTAATTAGGAGTAGGGAAATCAAGAAATAGCGTAATTTGCTTTTTGATGTGTATGTGTGTGTGTGTGAGTGAGTGACTTTGCGTTTACAGTAATATTATAATGCATACTGGGACATAAAATTTCGTTTTAGGAAAATGTTGCTTTAGGGGCGCCTGGGCAGCTCATTCGGTTAAGCGTCTGACTTCGGCTCGAGTCATGATCTTGCAGTTCGTGAGTTCAAGCCCCACATAGGGTTCTGTGCTGACAGCTCAGAGCCTGGAGCCCGCTTCGGATTCTGTGTCTCCCTCTCTCTCTGCCCCTCCCCTGCTGACACACACTCTCTCAAAAATAAACATTTTTTTTTTTTAAATACTCACAGATGCTTTCCATGAGAAATAATTTCTTTTCTTTTTCTTTTCCTTCTTGGTTGTAAAAAAAGATAGCTATTTTTTTTTTTTTTTACATATTCTACATTTAATGAAGGAAAAGAAAGACATCCAAGTAATATTGTTATACTAGGACAGTATGCACACCATAGGCTAAAAGTCCCATTGGGAGATGTAATTCACTATGAGATACAGTAATTTTTAATTTCCTTTTTAAAAGAGAGAGCTAAATTTTAATTTGGAAGGTACTTCATATATAAAATTTTCAGGAGTAGCTTTAGAAACCAATTAAGAAGTATTTTTGTCTTAAGGGTTTGTGTGCCTGATGTGAGATGGTTATAAATGTTCTAAATTCTTTTTCTTCCTCTGGTTTTTACTTCTTCCATACTGTATTAATGGTGCTTTGTGTGGGAACAAAGTTTCAGCAAATGTTCCCTTTCTTCTCCCTTTTTGTTTTCTACACAAAGATATGTGTAATCTTGCAAATGTTTGCTTGCCCGAATAGCCTAAGTTTAGCGAGCATTATTGTCATTAGTAGGTGCAGTTATAGATACCTTGAACCCTTGTGGATTGAAAGACAGTTCAAATATGACACTATTTTACTGGTTATTTTCCCAAAAGAGAAATTCTTGGGCTAAAATACAACATGAAGGAGAGACTGTGTTGGTTGGTGGTTGGGGGGTGGGGGGAGGGTGGCCAGTTGGAAGATGAGGAAGTTTGGAGGAAGCGGGCTCGCATAATAATAGGCATGGGGTGCCTGGGTGACTCAGTCAGTTAAGTACCTGACTCTTGATCTCAGCTCAGGTCATGATCTCATGGTTTGTGAGATCGAGCCCCGAGTCGGGCTCTGTGCTGACGGTGTGGAGTCTGCCTGGGATTCTTTCTTTCCCTCTCTGCACTTCACTTGCTCTCTTTCTCTCTCTCTTTCTCTCTCAAAATAAATAAATAAACTTTAAAAAACATAATAGACTTGAAGTAATAGACATTTCAGGAATACATACCAAACACACAAAAGCTTTAAACCTGTAGGGGTATTTGTATGGTTAAGTACAGTGAGAACATAGTAATGTCATCCCTAACGTTAAAAATAACAATATAAAGGGTAAATGTAAATTACCTTTTAGTAAATAATTTTACCTGCCAAATTTCTTAGTGTAAGATTTTGACAGTCTACGTAGTAATGTTTTAAGCTGTCATTTGGGACAGAATTTTAACCCCTTCCATTTCTTATCAACGTCAGAGAATGCCAAGGACTAGAGACATTGTTATGTAGCAGATAACAGGGAGGAAATAATTGCAAGAAGAGCTAATACTTAATGAGCACTTATTCTGTGCCAGCCACCGTTATCCTCATTTAAGTAAACCTTGCCTAACCCTGAAAACAACCCTAGATACTATTGTAATCATTTTATATATTTATACGTAGATGTACATCATTTTACATAATAGTCTAAATGAATGTTTAAATAAATGGATTTATAGAATTATAGAGAAATGATACAAAGCACACCTAAGGCTTACTTAGCCAATCAGATATATCCAGGCTGGACTGAGATGTGAGCCTTGGCGGTTTGTCGCCACAACGTATTAACCACTATTGCCTTGGAGTCTAATACCCGGATTCTCAAAAACATGAAGGTTGATTAAACTAGAAAAGTCGATATATGTAGCTTCTCTGTTTTGGAGGCAGATGATATAATAGTTAAGCACTGCACCCATTTTAAGAATCCCATATTCAGTCCCCTCCCTTTCACAAGTTATGTGATTTTGATCAAATTACTGATTTCGTAGACTATACTTTCTATATCTACAAAATAGTAGTAGATACTCTCAGCCATGCTCTCTTTGATTTAGTTAACTATAGAGTTATAGTTGTAGTGGTGTAGAAAATGCAGTGGTAGCTGAAATGTCAGGATTATGATGACAGGATCTATTCAGTTCATTATTGGACAGCTTCATGCCAGTCTGGCTGACTTTAACCGCGAGCATGGAAGTGACTGGTGGGAATTATCTCAGACGCCTTCATCTAAGTATATTCTAGTTCCTAGTATGACCTGTTAATAGGTTGGCTCCTATTGGAATGATTTTCAAAGCTATCAGCAGTATTGCTTTCATAATGAAATTAATTCTGTAAATTTCTGGAGGACCCTCAATTCATCCTTGGTCAAAACATCTGGGGGAAAGAAAAGAGGCAAAGACATTTCTAGTACAATGACATTATCAACACTAGAATATTAGTAAATAACCACCAAAATACTGCGAGGAGTTAATGACCTAATAAGAGGGGATTATAAATGCAAAAGACACAGTGGTGAGGGGGAACCTAGTTTATTACTCCATGGGATATTTACTATTTGTCATATATTCTCACACTTGCTTAGGAACACAGAATTACAAGAAAACTTGCCAAATATTTTGTGACATGGCTGAAATCTTGAACATGAGAATGAGTAGTTAGTAAACTTGTTGCTTAAATTTGCATTATAATTTCTCCATGTTAGTATGATTATTGAGAAGCATCCTTCATAGAATCCTAAAGAAAGGCAGGCTTTTAGAAGCCATCTTCTTTGGTTCTATCATTTATGCCTCAGGAAACAGGCTTAAAGAGATTGAATTTCATTCTCCATATTAACCACCTTTTAAAAAACGAAACCTAAACTAGGTCTTCTGCAAGAGATGATAGGATAATGAATATGCTTATATGTATTTCTGGTAGAAACTTCATTGTTGTATGAAGTACCATTGGATTACCTGTATCATTCATTTGTTTATAGCAAACATTTATTGAGCTCCTATTACATATGGTGGCAGGTATTGAGAGTTCAAAATTCAGTCTTTAGTCTCAACTCACACTATATATTTTTAGTAACAAAAAAAATCCTATTTATCTTAGGAGCACTGCTAGAAACTCTTAATCTTTCAATATAACCCTCTCCCAAATCCTGTAAGGGAAGTATTACAATTCTCATTTTTACAGATGAAAAAAAAAAAAAAAAAAAAAAAAAAAAAAAAAAAAAAAAAAAACAGTTTGGAGAAGTTGTGTTGAACTGCTCAGTGTTACAACGCTAGGTGAGTGCCAGAGCTGGATGTAAGCCCTGTTCAAGCTGGGGCCAAGGTCTGTGCTTTTCTCCAGCAATCCACAGTGTGATTTACTTTGATCACAATCACATACAACCCCCTTTCAGCCACCTATGACAGGCTGACAGGTTTATTTTTGAAGGCTCAACCCAGTGATTACGTAGGGAAGCACATTCTCAAGTTATAAAGAAGAACTGGTGAAAAGTGATCATCCAGGTGTGAAATGGGAGTACAGTGCTTGTTTTCTTGGTTTATTCCTGCTCAATTGTGTGTGCACCGACGTTCTTTAAGGTATTTTAAGCGTCTTCATTGGGCTATAATAACATGGAATTTCTCTCTCTCTCTCTCTTTGTCAGGTATGGAAAAATTGTATCCACAAAGGCAATTCTGGACAAAAACACAAATCAGTGCAAAGGTATGTGTAAGGGCATCTATACCCTGGGCTCTTGCCTAGCCTGTTCCATTGATGTCTCCTTTAAGGCAGAAGTCCAGACACCAGCTGTACAATGATCACGATGTAACGAATATGGCAAACCTCTTTAATAATGCCAAGGCTTTGATGAGTCGTATTTCTAGTAACATTGTTCATTAATTTTTTTCATTAACAAACAAAATGAAAATCACAAATCAGAACAAGTATCAAATTGCTTCAGCGTAAAACTAAATTACCTCTTAACAACTTGGGGTTGTCTGATTTGAATGATATCATCAGTGATGCAAATTGATTTCCTATATAAAAATGAGGAACTCTGGGGAGAACTTCCCCATGCAAAGCACGTTTTAATTTATCTGTTCCTTAAAGCTTTAGTGACATTGGTTGACTAGGAATGAATTTACTGATGGGCCCATTGTGTCTAAGCTTCTGCTGTCAGCATCTCTCGGGATCTGAGTTGGTATCTTATTAAGGCTTTTTTCTCCCCTGCAAACATTTCTGAAGTTATTTGACTATATCTGTGACTCATGTCTCCTCATGTCTGGGAATCCCATACTCTTTCATGAGTTGCATTTTATATTATTTGTGAAATCTGTATGGTCTCTCTCGCATGACTCAGTTCTTACTAGGAAATTGGAATGCTTCTTGTAACATATGTTATTTGTTGTTCCTGTAATCCAGTCTTTCTTATAATACCAGAAGTATGGTAGAGCCATGATCATTCTAAACACTGCCCCTATTTCACATACAGATATAATGTGCATATGTTTTAGGAATAGGCACTCATACACTGAAGATATTTCCCAGCCTATCTGGGTGACAGTATTCAGGTTCTATTCAGCAATTAAAAAACAAACAAACAAACAAACAAACAGCATTCCACGTCCCCCGTAAAGTCACAAATGTGCTAGGTGCTTAGCTACTACAAGACGAAAAATAGTAAGATATGGTTTCTGTCATCTAATGGTTCAATTTGAAAAGGAAACCAACAAGAAAATGAAGAAACGAATCGTAACACACTTATTAGAGTCAGCGTATCAGCCTAAAGTACCTGAAAGTATAACGGAGGTATCTATATTGGAGATATACATAAAAAACTGTGAGAGGAGGAGGTGGAGATTCCTTTTGGGGGAATAAAGTTTATAAAGGCAAGTCAGAATGGATGGGCATGGGAAAGGTCTGTGTTTGAAAGAAAGAGTTTCAGAATGTAGTTGAGCAGACCCACATAACTAGAATGGAAACTCCTAACACCCCTGTCCACATTTTCTTGTAACTACTTATTTAATTCTTTTTCCCTCATTCTCTGTCTCTTCCTCCAAAGAGACTTAAACTCAATGAAGACAGGACCTGTGTAATCTAGAAAGTTTATCTTCAAAGTGACGTGTTGTAGAGCAATGCTAAACTCTCAGCTGGGGATGCTAGAAGGAAATGTTAGAATATATCTCTCTTTGTTTTTAGATCAACTTTCTCTATGTGGTGTAGAACATAGTAGTTAATTTTACAAATGCATATGTTTTATACATATAAATGTGTGAATTTTGGGTTTGCTGATACAAAATATTCTTATTCATTGTGATATGCATTTAAAAAGTAGTCTGGGGACTCCTGGTCTCATAATAAGCACTAATAAATACAGAAGGAGATGAAGGAGGGAGGGAGGGAGGGAGGAAAAGGAGAGAGAAAGGAAGGAAGGAAGAGGGAACCATGGAACCACCTAGGAAGATCATTTAATAAAAGGGCAGCTAAAGATGACTTCATGGGAGGGCAGAGGGCTATTAGACCTTTTGCCTTGAGGGTGGTGTGAAAAAGGTGAAGTTAATGTATGGTCATTATACATAATATGGATAGAAGTCTCCAGTTGCCTTTTCTGGCCTCAGCATTTGGAGTCTGTGGGTTAACAGTAGGGATTCTGAATTACAACCTTCATCAAGCACGTGGAGGTTGGTATCCTAAAAGTTAAGCACTCATGGTCAGAAAGATACTACTGTCACTTTCATGTTTGAGGTAAAATACTATTTTAATGGTATTCTGAGTCCTATTTAGAGTATTCCTTTCTGGCCCTTGAAATGGTCACCCATACAAACTACATGCAGTTGGGAAGAGGCAGCAATTATATTTCTGGAAAATTATTTATAGTTGTTAATGATAACGTGGGAGCACATTTCTGAGGTTGGGAGGAAGATGTGACATCGTTGAGCAGTTCAAAGAACTGAATAAACGAGACGTTGAAACAACCATCTAAATATTTATTGAAATCGCCAAGAATTGAAGCAGGCATAGTTTTGGGGAAAGTAAACCAGAAGGTGTGAGCAATGATACTGGGCATCTGTAGACCATAGTGAAAATGAAGATTCACTGGTTATAAAATTTTGTGATAGAGGATTCTAAACTGGAGATTTAGGTAGGAGGGAAACCAGATGGACATAGGAACAAGGAGGACTCCTCACTATAATCCACTGGGAGAAGAGGTATTAGAAGGAAAAAGAAAAGTCGACAGGGCTACAAAGGAGCAGTGTCCTCAGGGTGAGTTAGGAAACAGTTGGGAGCGTGCAAATGAAAGTAATGATAGCTTATATGCACTCAGGAAGCCGAGGTTATTTCACGCAGGCCTTCCAATTCTGCTTCCTGTGTGCCTGGTTCACCCGTCTTCACTGGTATCATCGGAAATTGGTGGAGTCTTTTTAAAAAGTCAGTGTTGACGGGGCGCCTGGGTGGCGCAGTCGGTTAAGCGTCCGACTTCAGCCAGGTAACAGATCATTCAAGGCTGTGGAGTTTCCGAGCTCCCTGCTGCCAAGGCTCTACTGGGAATGCGCTCAGAGCCTGGCCTGTCACTTCCGGTGCTCCCTCTGCTCTCTCCCCCATGTCATGCTCTGTCTCTCTGTCCCAAAAATAAATAAACGTTGAAAAAAAAAATTAAAAAAAAAAAAGTCAGTGTTGAAAGAACGATAAAGGGAATATTATTGATACTAGTAATTACAAGGAGACTGTTGTCCCACATATTGTATTCAAACAGATTTTTAAAGAATGTATAAATATGCACGTGCTTGGCCCTCTTTCATTCTCTATCTTGGGACAAATATAGGCAACCTCCCAATTCTAGCTTATGGAGCATATACAACTGATCCAAGCATTACAACGATAGGAAGGAAGACTTAAACTATGTCAGATTATGAGCATAGTGATTATAGGAAGTTACATGAATATGGAGGAATACAAAATAATGTGTAAAATAAATATGGAGCAAAGTAAATATTTGAGACTAAGTATTCCTTATCTTTATGTCTGTGGGGAAGCCAGGGCCTGCTTTGAACACCGCCTCTCCACTTAGTAGCTGTGCCACCTGTGGTAAATGACTCAACTTTGCTGGGTGCCTCAATTCCCCATCTATAAAATGATGATAATAATAGGGCCTGAGTTGATGATTAAATGAGGTATACATGGATAGCACTCAACAATACCTGGTGTCAGCTGTGGTATGAAATACTAGAAATAGTAAAAAAAAAATGTCTTAAGGTGGTGGGAATATGGGTGATAGGTTATTATTTTATGTTTCTCCAAATTTGTTGCCTTTTCAGGCAAAACAAACAAAACAAACAAAAAACAACTCTTGGAAACAATGATCTGGTTTCAGTTATATATATTTGATAGTTCTTTTTGTGAATTACTAGTAGCCTACGACTATATGTTTCTTTGTTTTTTGTAAAATAATGTCAGATGATAATAGCAATGGATGGGGAGAGAATGCTATGGTTTTTGTTTTTGTTTTTGTTTTTCATAATGCGCAGAAATTGAGTTCTTCTTGACCATGGCTTTCTCAAGGAAGGAGATGGAAAGGATGAGGTGGCTTTTTCAAACAAAATCACTAACAGCATGGAGCTTGTCATTAGAGAATGCAAATTGGATTTGGTCTTCTCTGAGATACTTCCTTCCGAATCATTTGCAACTTTGCCTCCAGACTAAGGCTATGCAATTAAAACCAAATATTAGGAAGACAGGATTTATTTATTTTTGCTTTTAAAGATATGATATGAGTTCAATTTTTCACGAGCTGTTACACAAGCAGCATATTTACATGCAAGTTAGTATTTAGTGGGGTGTGAGGAAGTAAATGCCCCAGTCTCCTTGGAGATGAAAAGAAAAAGCATCCAAATGAACCTTGATATATTAGCCCAATGTTAGATGCTTACCCTATCTTAGTATCTGAAAGAAAGGCTTTTGTTCCCTACTTGTATCCCACTCACACCCTGAAGTTACAAACAGTAGGCAGGCCCAGAGAATCGTGCTTACTCTCTATTCCAGAAGGGGTCAAGGAGAACCCTTTCAACATAACCTCTCGTTTTCAAGATTGTTCTTTCTTGGGTGGTGGCTGTGGCAGCTTTCATTCTGTAAAATATGGCAACATAAAACACAACAGTCACCGTCAGGCCAAAATGACCAGAAATTGCTGAACAAAGCAGGCAACAGCTCCAGATGGAGAGTAATGAAAAGCAGACCACAGTTCATTCAGATACTCAAATGCAAGGACCAAATAAGAGCTATTGTACAAGTCACAGAGATTTGCAGGGCTTTGTTTGTTTGTTTATTTGTTTGTTTGTTCTTCTGTTTTCCTCCCTGTGTTTCCCTCCGGGTCAAGTATATTTGCTAATTTAAAAAGTCATGGAAAATTAAATGAAGGAAGCCATTGAAAACATGGTGTAAATCTTCAATGAATTTACTTGTCTCTGCCTTTTCCTGCTTTTTAAGTTTGGTTTCCTCTGAACCCCTCCCCACACCATTTTTTCTGACAGGCTATGTGTTCAGAGCAGAGGGAATGAGTAATGGATATTCCATAGAAAGTTTCCAGGCCTAATAGCCATAGGATATAAGTGTAGGTAGCCTGTGCCAAGCACACCAACTTCTAAGAGTTTGAAATACTCCCTTCTGCCTTTGTTGTCACAAGCTGGTTGAATTATGTTTATGGAAGCTTATGTTGCCTTTAACAT